TTCCTCCCCGCCCACTCCCCTCCCTCCCTCCCTCCCCCATTCCATCCCTCCAGTCTAATCCCTCCTCTGTGCTCCCTCCTCCACTCTCCGTCCCGCCTCACTGTTCCATGCTCCCTCCTCCCTCCTCCCTCTTCCCGGTTCCCTGTTCCCTCCCCCCTCCCCCATCCACAATGACTCAGTCTGAATACTACTCTCCTCTCTCTCCTGATGACGTCTGGAAGTTGTCCCGCCCCCCTCCGCGTACTGATTTCTTATACACAGGATCCCCAGGAGTTGGTACAACATGTTGCTCCCGCTAAAGCGCTGGCCCCATCTCTGCGCCTCTGGTTGTTCCAAAGTGTGCCCCCGCTGCAGCGCGGGCGTTTTCGGCCCTTCGAAATAGGCCCCAAAATCAAACATATGCCCCCCGAAAAAAAGCCATCGGAAGTGATTACACATTCGGTGTCGATTCGTTGATTTGTTGGGCCGCAGAAGCCCCCCCCCACTTTGTGTCGTCGTCGATGTCAGGATGTATCAAGCGGGAGTTCCGTTTCTACTTTGGAGGCGCATGGTCAGCGGGTGCTCTCCATCAGCCCCGCCTTGCGTGGAGCCAACGAGCTAGACATGGAGCCAGGATTCCAGACCAGCCCAGACCTCTCGTCGCGCGTCTCTTTTGAAACACCCGCCTCAGCGCGCCCGTAGATGTCTGCCATGGAATATTACCGTATACTCTTGCTGGGAGAATACATGTGTGTGTTGGCTTTGCTGGGTCGTGACACTCGTGCAGAGAGGAACAATCACCGGACAGCTCGCACCATTGGCCCCCCGCCAGCCCCCACGCCAAGGGGGCGAGCATACATACGGCGCAGCACCGCGCTGGATGCGTAGCCGTCGGCTGGCGCCACCCAAGCGAATGACGCATCTCGTGGCGGCCTGGATGCCCGCGCTCGAGCAAAGATATTTATCTGTTCCTCCCTCTATTATCCTCTCCTCCGCGGCTTAAAACTGCCACCGAAAATACCTCACCCGCTGGCTTAAAAATACACCGACATTATCCGCACCGCAGGCTTTAAAATGCACGATATCCTGGCCCGCCTGATCACTGCAGGCCACAGAAAACATCCGCACCCGCTGGCAAAACTGCAACCGACATATCCTCACCCGCGGAAATAAAACTGCCATCGAAATATGCTCGCCCGCTGGCTTAAAACTTCCACCGACATATCCTCGCCCGCAGGCTTAAAACTGCCGCCGAAATATCCTCGCCCGCTGGATCAATGCAGCTACAGAAACATCCTCACCCGCTGACTTAAAACTGCCACCGACATATCCTCACCCGCGGAAGTAAAACTGCCACCGAAATATCCTCACCCGCTGGCTTAAAACTGCCACCGGAATATCCTCACCCGCTGGCTGAAAACTGCCTTCGAAATATCCTCACCCGCTGTCTGAAAACTGCCACCGAAATATCCTCACCTGCTGGCTTAAAACTGCCACCGAAATATGTTCACTTGCTGGCTTAAAACAGCCGCCGAAATATCTTCACCCGCGGAAGTGAAATTGCCACCAAAATATCCTCACCCGCTTTCTTAAAGCCGCCACCGAAACATCCTCACCCGCTGGCTTAAACTGCCACCGAAATATCCTCACCCGCTGGCTTGAAACTGCCACCGAAATATCCTCACCCGCTGCAATAAAACCGCCACCGAAGTATCCTCACCTGCTGGCTTGACACTGCAACCGCTCGATAACACTCGATAACACATCGATAACACTTCATGCGATCGAGGTGTCATCGAGTGGTATCGAGGTGCTCTCGAGCGTTATCGAGCTCGATCACACTCAATAGCACCTCGATAACACCTCGATAACATCCCGAACACATCTCGAAAACATGTTATCGATGTGATATCGGGTGTTGTCGAGGTGTTGAAGAGCGGGTGATGGTCACCCGCTGGTTTGAAACTGCCACCGCAATATCCTCACCCGCTGGCTTAGAACTGCCTTCGAAATAACCTCGCCCGCTGGCTGAAAACTGCCACAGAAATTTCTTCACCCGCTGGCTTAAAACTGCCACCGAAATATCTTCACCCGCTGGCTTAAAACTGCCACCGAAACATCCTCACCCGCTGGCTTTAAACTGCCGCCGGAATAGCCTCACCCGCGGAAATAAAACTGCCACCGAAATATCCTCACCCGCTGGTTTAAAACTGCCACCGAAATATCCTCACCCGCGGGCTTGAAACTGCCACCGGGATATCCTCACCCGCGGAATTGAAACTGCCACCGAACTATCCTCACCCGCTGGCTAAAAACTGCCACCGCAATATCCTCACCCGCGGAAATAAAACTTCCACCGAAATATCGTCACCCGCTGGCTTGAAACTGCCACCGAAATATCCTCACCCGCTGGCTTACAACTGCCACCGGAATATCCTCACCCGCTGGCTTAGAACTGGCACCGAAATATGCTCATCTGCCAGCTTAAAACTGCCGCCAAAATACCCTCACCCGCGGAGATAAATCTGCCACCGAAATATCCTCACCCGCTGGCTGAAAACTGCCACCGAAATATCCTCACCGGCTGGCTTAAACTGCTATCAGAATATCCTCACCCGCGGGAATCAACTGCCACCGAAATATCCTCACCCGCTGAAACACCGAAATTTCCTCAACTGCTGGCTCAAAACTGCCACCGAAATATCCTCACCCGCTGGCTTAAAACTGCCACAGAAATATCCTCACCCGCTGGCTTAAAACTGCCACCGAAATATCCTCACCCGCTGGCTTCAAAATGCCACAGAAATACCCTCACCCGCTGGCTTGAAACTGCCACCGAATTATGCTCACCCGCGGAAGTAAAACTGCCATCTAACGGCCTGGTGGTTCAGTTCAGTCTGTCTACCTCGCGAAAATCAAATTACGGGCTGCGCCCGTAAAAAAGGCAACGGGCCTGCACTGGCGGGCAACAACAACATTGATGAGCAATTGACAAAGATTAGACAACTCGATACATGAGCAACCAACCAATACGACAAGCACGACGACGACAAATCCTACCAGCCCTGAGGGTACCGCCTCTTCCCAAAAAAGTAGATTCTGCATCATCATTGTCTCCCCGTGGTCATGGGACCCCCTCGCGAGGGGCTGGAGCGTCCACGATGCTCCCAGGGACGGGTTCAGCATGGTCAACAACTAGTCCATTACAGCATTCAGCATGGCGCAACATAGCCCACATTTTGCCGCACTGTCTGACAACCTGGGGGCAAGTCGGTTACCAGACGGCGAAGCAGTCGACGCACCAAACGCGCGCCAACTGCGAGCCGCGCCAAACGCGCGCTGACGATGCAAACGCCAGTACAGTGGAGACGTCAGTTTACGATCCGTGGGCACCAAACGCAGCTGGACTTGGAGACCAAGGTTGGACTTTCTGGCCACGTCGCCACATTCGACAACGCGCCAAGCGGCCGACGTGCGGAGTGAAGGGAAATAACCTCATGCCCGTGAGAATAAACACTAGGGGATAATAAAGTTCGGGGTTCAGGGAGAGATAATAAAAGTAGCCCAGCAGACCTCAGCATAATCTCGAAGTAAGAGATGATCAAGAGGAGACCAAGCCGAGCACGTTTTGAGACATCCTTGGCGTTTAGTTTTCGTAGAAATATCCTCAACAATGGCTTATCTCGCTGGATACATCCTCGACAAATCCCTTGTTTCGCTTGAGACATCCGCAAACTATTGCTTATTTCGCTTGAGACACAGTCAAACTATTGCTTATTTCGCTTGAGACATCCTCGAAATAATTGTGTTGTTCGCTTGTAACGTCCTCAAGCTATATATAAAAAAAAAAATTAAAAAAATAAAGAATAAAATAAAAGAAATGATAGGAGGAGGAGAAGGAGGAACAGAAGAAAAAAACTCGAGTTTCAAATCTATGAGATTTTATTTACAAGCGCTGTATGAAAAGTGTTTTTTGTAAGTGCTCGTGTAGGGTAGCTCATGTGCCTCAATTTCCATGGATAATCAACCCCAGAGATAAAAAAGTTCAGGCGAGCGTGGGGACAGAGAGAAATATAAAAGAAGAAGAATACAGTAGAATAAAAAAAGAAAGAAGAACAAGAGGAGAATAAGAAGAGGACGAAGAAAGGAAAATTCCAAAGTTCCAAATCTATCAATTTTAATTTACAAACGCTTTATGAAAATTGATTTTTTAAAGTGCTCGTGTAGGGTAGCTCATGTGCTTCATTTTCCATGGATAATCATACCCAGGGATAAAAAAGTTCAGGCGAGCGTGAGGACAGATAGAAATATACAATAAGAAGAGGAAAGTAGAATAATAAAAAGAAGAGAAGAAGAAAAGAAGAATAAGAAGAGAAGAAGAACGGACAAATGGAAAGTTCCAAATCTATCAATTTTAATTTACAAACGCTTTATGAAACTTGATTTTTTAAAGTGCTCATGTAGGGTAGCTCATGTGCTCCCCTTTCCATGGATAATCAACCCCAGAGATAAAAAAGTTCAGGCGCGCGCGGGGATATATACATATATAAAAAGGAAGATAATAAAAAAATATAAATAAAAAGAAACAACTTGCTGGTTTAGCTTGAAACATCCTTGAGACATCCTTGAAACATTGCTCGTTTCGTTTGAGTCTGCCTCCCAAAATTATTGGTTTCGCTTGACACATCCTGAAAAAGTGTGATCGCTTCGCTTGATGATGCTATATCAACATCGCTTGATGTTGCTATCTCAACATAGCGTTTCGAGGTGATAATGAAGTTCGGCCTCAGCGCTCGCCGCCCAATTTGGATTTTGTATAGGGCGACGATAATCAACTCTAAACACTGAAGGGGGGGGGGTCCCTTTATTATCATCGGCATGCGGTTAGAGGATGAGGAGGAGGAGGAAGGCAGAGGAAGAAGAGGAGGGCCCGATCAAGTATATCACAACGTTCTCATCGTATCGTGCAAATTCACCCAGAATGGACCTAGGTGACAAACAAGCTTGCACGACCGCATCACTCAAAAATATGCCACTGCGGTAGAGGCGTTCTTGGGACTGGCACCGAGACCAAGCCCGTCAATCGAGAGCAAACTGATTATTTTATGGCACTTCAGACTGGGCTCAGCTGCGGCCGTGTGGTCGTCCAATCCCAGAATCCCGCCCACAGGGTAGCCTGCAAATTTCAGGTTGCGGACGAAAAAGTTCAGGTAGACGATGCCACTCTTAGTGTGGCCCTGGACCACTTTCAGCTCCACCTGGCCGTATCGCAGCCAACGCCGGGACTCCTTCTCAGCGACATGGCCGGCGCTGAAGGCGCGGCCCTGGGAGCCGACCCATCTTCCCGTCAGGTTCACCGACTGGAAGTACATGTCAGCGCACGCCGCGCCCATCTGCCGCGCCTCCGCATCGACGCTCAGCAAGGCGGCCCCGCGCTTGGCACCCCTGGGAACCCGCAACAACGTGTGCCATCCCTCCTTGCGGAGGTCGAACCTCTGCCCGAGCACGTTGGCGAGGTGAGGGTCCCCAGTCGCCTGCGCCGACCCACCGGCCGCACCGGCGCGCGGCGAGTCTGGCGTCGGGCTCGGCGTCGGGTTCGGCGTCGGGTCGGGCGTTGGGAAAGCCGTCGGGTAGGGAGTCGGGAAGGCCGTCGGGTGGGGCGTCGGGTATGGCGTCGGGTATGGCGTCGGGTATGGCGTCGGGTAGGGCGTCGGGTATGGCGTCGGGTAGGGCGTCGGGTATGGCGTCGGGTATGGCGTCGGGTAGGGCGTCGGGGAGGCTGTTTTGACCGTCACGGTATGCGACCCAGTTGCTGTGAAAGTATGAATTTGGTAGCCATTCCTCGTTGTGACTGTGCCACCTTGGAGCAACTGGGTGGAACTCATGTACCTGATGATTACGATGCCGGACCCTCCATTGCCAGCCAAAGAAGATTCAGGATCCGTGCCGCCGCCACCACCGCCAGTGTTTGCCTGTCCGTGTCCGCCATTGAAATAAGCGCCGGAACCATAGCCAAGACTGCTGCCACTGCCGCCACCCCCGAGGCCGCCAGCCCCTCCTGGATAACTGGAACAATAACAGTTTGCGTTGACGCCACCGCCACCGCCTCCGCCGTAATACGTAGAGTAGCCTGAGATTGACGACGCCACTCCAACGCCACCATCCCCCCCGACATTCTGTCGGGGTGCGTTGCTCCCAACGCCGCCCGCACCGCCGCCGCCACCGCCTGCGCCGTATCCCCCCCTGTCGCTCCGCCCACCACGGTTGCCTTGTCCCGCGACCCCAGCCGCGTAGGCAACGTAAGGCAGATCCCAGGCGCCTCCACCGCCTGAGCCCCCGCTGTACGCAGTCCTGGAACTGCCCCCCGCACCCCGACCGCCGCCATATGCCCTCAGAGAGCCGATCGAAGAAGAACCTCCGCTCGTTGCCTCCGCAGAAGCCCCATACCCATGCCCCCCCGCACCTCCGCTACCGCCAGCGCCAACCGTGATGACTGCGCTGCCAAATATGACCAAGCCCGTCCCTCGGAGCACACCGCCGGCGCCGCCGCCCCCAGAAGCGCCGCCACCGCCGCCGCCGACAATCAGGTATTCCACTGTCAGAGTCGACTGCGCCGCCTGCTTCTCCCAGGTGGCATTTACGTAAGTGGCGATCGCCGCGGGAGGTTCGGCCTTGTCGAGGTGCAAGGCTGAAGGCTGCTGCGCAGCCTAGCAAGAGAAACAGCGCCGAGGTGCCCGACGGCTTCATGGCACCGAGACGGAGGGTTCTGTGAGATGCTGAAGCACGCAAACGTGCGCCACAAAAGGCTTCAGGTATACATAATAAATACGTACGGACACAAGAAGCCGCCATCCCACTCCAGAGATCCCGACAATCCCTCCTCCATCCTCCCTCCTCTCTAATCCCTCCTCCCTCCTCCCTCCCCCCTCCCCCCTCCTCCTCCTCCCTCCTCCCTCGTCCCTCGTCCCTCGTCCCTCGTCCCTCCTCCCTCCACCCTCCTCCCTCGTCCCTCGTCCCTCGTCCCTCGTCCCTCGTCCCTCGTCCCTCGTCCCTCCTCCCTCGTGCCTCGTGCCTCGTGCCTCGTGCCTCCTGCCTCCTCCCTCCTCCCTCCTGGAGCACATCCCTCCTCCTTCCTCCCTCCCCCCTCCTCCCTCCTCCCCCCCTCCCGGCTCCCTCCTCCCTCCTCCCTCCTAGCGCCTCCCTCCTCCTTCCTCCCTGCTCCCTCCTTCCGCCTCCCTTCCTCCCTTCTCCCGCTCCCCCACCCGTTCCCGCCAAAAACTTCGCACGTGTGTCACAAAAAGGCTCAAGGCATACATGATGGAGACGGACACAAGAAGCGGCCATCCCACTCCAGAGATCCCGATCAATCCCTTAAGGGATGCTATATAATCCTTAAGGGATGCTATAGAATCCCTACGGGAAGGCTGCAGAATCCTTAAGGGATGCTATAGAATCCTAAAGGATGCTATAGGATCCTGCAGGGATGCTATAGAATCCCTGAGGGCTGCTACAGAATCCCTAAGGGATGCGATAGAATCCCAAAGGGATGCAATGTAATCCTCAAGGGATGCTATGGGATCCCTAAGGGATGCTACAGAATCCCTAAGGGGAGGCAGCAAAAAACCCGAAGGAATGATACAGAAACCCGAAGGGGAGGCTGCAGAAACCCTAAGGGGTGCTATAGAATCCCTAAGGGATGCTATAGAAACCCAAAGGGATACTATAGAATCCCTAGCTGCTGCCATAGAGTCCCTCGGGGATACTATAGAATCCCTAAGGGCTGCCATAGAATCCCTTAGGGCTAATCCCTTAGGGCTGCCATAGAATCCCGAAGGGCTGCCATAGAATCCCTAAGGGATGCTATAGCAACCCTAAGGGATGCTATAGAATGCGCGAGGGAAGGCTGCCGAACCCCTAAGGGATGCTCTAGAATCCCTAAGGAATGCTATAGAATCCCTAAGGGATGCCATATCATCTTCAAGGGATGCGACATAACCCCTAAGGAGAGGCTGCGGAACACCTAAGGAATGCTATATAATCCCAAAAGGGATGCTGTATAATCAATGATGGAGGCTATAGAATCCTGATGGGATGTTATATAATCCTGAGAGGGATGCTGTAGAATCAATGAGGGATGCTATAGAATCCTCAAGGGGATGCTATATAATCTCTCAGGGATGATGTATAATCAATGAGGGAGGTTATATAATCCCTAAGAGGTGCCATAAAATCCCTGAGGGATGCTATAAAATCCTTGAAGGATGCTGTATCATCCGTCGAATCCTTAAGGGGATGCTATAGAATCCTTAAGGGGATGCTATCGAATTCTTTAAAGGATGCTATAGGAGCCTTGAGGGATGCTACAGAGTCCCTGAGGGATGCGATAGAATCTTGGAGGGATGCTACAGAATCCATAAAAGGGCTGCTATTGAATCCCGAAGGGATACTATAGAATCCCCAAGGGATACTATAGATCCCTAAGGGATGCCATAGAATCCCCATGGGTCCCGGCGCGTTGCCCCGCGTCCCTCAGTGGCCTGCCACACAGGGGGGAGGCGCATGCCCAAATGGCTTGAACCACAAATGAAGAGAGGGAAAAGAGCGTGCCCACGTCAGCCGCAAGGCCACCAGAGCCACGGGAGTGAAATCCGCCGCCGTGCATCCTGTACGGCAGAGGCGCGTTAGAAGCTGGGCCGGCACGGGAACGAAAAGAGCTCCATGTGGGGCCAGGGCAACGATCCTCGATACACGTGTGCCGGAATGATGTTTCGGTGTGGCTCCGTGTGGGGCCAGGGCCACGATCCTCGAGAGGGGTGTGCCGAAATGAAGCTTCGGTGGGCCCCCTTGTGGGGACTGTGCCACGATCCTCGAAACGGGTGTGCCGAAATGATGTGTCGGTGGAGTTCCCTGTGGGACCAGGGCGACGATCCTCGAGAGGGGTGTGCCGAAATGAACCTTCGGTGGAGATCCCTGTGCGGCCAGGGCCGCGATCCTCGAGAGGGGGTGTGCCGAAATGAAGCGTGGGTGGAGCTCCCTGTGGGGCCAGGGCCACGATCATCCTTGAGGGGCGTGCCGGCATGAAGCTTCGGAGAAACCTTCTGTGAGGCCGCGACCACGATCCTCGAAAACGGTGTGCCGAAATGAAACTTCGGAGGAGCTCTCTCGGAGACCAGGGCCACGATCCTCGAGAGGGGTGTGCCGAAATTAAGCTTCGGAGGAGCTCCCTGTGAGGCCAGGGGCCCTATTGGATTCCTATCAGATTCCTAGAAATGACTCCCATAAAATTCGTAAAAGCCCTATAGGCTTCCCGTGGGATTCCTCTAGGACTCGTAGAAAGGCCGTATAATTCCTATAAGACTCCTATCGGATTCCTATAAGATTCGGAGAGGCCCCATTGGAATTCTCATAGGATTCCTACAGGATTCCTATGGGATTCGTAGAGGCCCTGTCGGATTCCTATAAGATTCCGAAGAGGATTCGTGCAGGTCCTCTAGGATACTTTTCAGAAACGTATAGAAGTCCTATGGGATTCGTACAGGCCCTACAGGATTTCTATGGGAGTCCTATAGGATATGCAAACTCCCTCTGGGATTCCTATCAGATTCCTATAGGAGTCCTATAGGGTTCGTAAACGCTCTATATGAAACCGATGAGACTCCTATAGGAATCCGATAAGATTCGCAGAGGCCATATCGGATTCCCACAGGTTTGCTATAGGATTCTATGGCACTCGTAGACAGGCCTTAAATGAGTATTATGAGATGCCTATGGGATTCCTATCGGAATCGTAGAGGCCCTATAAGCTTCCCATGGGATTCCTATAGGAATCCTAAAAGCCCTAAAGGAATCCCATGGGGTTCTTGTTGGATTCCTACAGGATTCGTAAGAGGCCCTATAGGATTCACATCGGATTCGTATAGGGTTCCCATCGGACTCATGCCGTATAGGATTCCTATAAGATTCAAATTGGATCCCTATAGGATCCGTAGAGGCTCTCTAGGACTCCCATCGAAATCCTGTAGGATCCTTGGCGGATTCGTAATGAGGCCCTCCAGGATTCCTCTGGGATTCCTAAAAAGAATTCCGATAGGCTTCGTAGAGGCCCTATGAGATTCCCAAGAAGGATCCCTATAACATCCGTAAATGATTCGTAAGGAGGCCCTATAGGATTGCCAAAGAATCCCTATGGGATTCCCATAGGACTCCTAAAAGCCCTATAGGATTCCAATGGGATTCCCATCGGAATCCTACAAAGGCCTTATAGGTATCCTACAGGCTTCCTAAAAGGATTCCTATCGGATTCGTGAAGGCCCTATAAGATTCTCATCGGGTTCCGATGGGATTCCCATATGATTCGTAAAAGGCCCTATCGGATTCCTATAAGATTCCCATGGGATTCCCATAGGATTCGTAGAGGCCCTATAAGATTCCTGTGCAGAGACCCTATAAGATTCCCAAGAGGAATCCCATAGGATTCGGGGTAACGTGCGTTGCGTTGCGTTGCGTTGCGCCGGGGGGGGGTGGCGGGCGCCAGTGAGTGGTTTCGTCAACAACAACAACAATTAGTCACTGCGTGGAGCTCCCCATATGTGCATCTACTCGCATGGACCTGTCCGCCGTGAATGTCTAGGCGCAAGAGCTTTCGAATATTAACGGGCTTCAGTTGTGACGGTCTGGACATCAATCTAACTGCGAATGAATTGGAGTGTGAATGAGCCTCAGTAGTGCGAACGCGTCTCTGTGCATGAGCCTGGGGCCTCCTGGGGCCTCCTGAAACCTACTGGGGTTTCCTGGGTTCTCCAGGAGCCTCTTGGGACCTCCTGGGACCTCCTAGGAAGGTTTCGTGCCCCAGGAGAGGCGCAATCTATAGCAACAAACGTACATAAAACATTGCGGATTAGAGCCACAGGAGAAGGGCAATCTATATGAACACGCGTAAAACACCAAGGACTCGTGCCCCAGGAGAGGCCCAATACATAGTAACATGAGTAAAACATTTAGGATTGTGTACACAGGAGAAGGACCATCTATAGAAACATACGTAGAACATCAAAGAATCGTGCTCCAGGTGAGGCCCAATCGATAGGAGCATACGTAAAACACATGGGATTGGAGCCACTCCTGTTGCCTTCTGAGGCCTCCTGCTCCTGGGGCCTCTCGGGGCCTCCTGTTGCCTTCCGAGGCCTCCTGGCGCTTCCTGTTGCCTCCTGGGGCCTCCTGTGGTTTCCTGAGGCCTTCTGGAGCTTCCTGGGGCCTCCTGGAGCCTCTTGGGACATCCTGTGGCATCCTAGTCTTTCTGTGGCCTCCTGATGCCTCCTGGGACCTCATGTGGTCTCCTGGGGCCTCCTGGAGCCTGTTGGAGCCTCCTGTGGCATCCTGAGAAGAATCTGCGCCCACGAGCCTGGCCACCAAAACAAGCAAACCGATCGAGACATCCTCAAAATCTGGCCCACCTGGGGAGTGAAAATGAGCGCCTCGCTCGAGACATCCTCCAAATCTGCTCCGAAAGCGAAGGATGTTGGGCCCAGAAACAAGCAAACCGCCTGAGACATCCCCACAAAATGGCCGCGAACGAGCCCGTGCAAACACCCCTGGCGGCTCCCCTTAGGGGTGCTGAAATGAGCGCCTCGCTCGAGACATCCTCCAAATCTGCTCCGAAAGCGAAGGATGTTGGGCCCAGAAACAAGGAAACCGCCTGAGACATCCC